GTTTTAAAAGAAATCAATGCAAAAATAAAAAAAATAACCTGTAGATGTGTTTATTTAGTTAAGTGCTCTATTTAGAGGTTGTAGTTTGAGCACATTTGTGAGCTTGAGCTAATTACCACAAACATTTCTGAGCTGATTTTAATTGTGTGGTCATCAAAGAGGCCCAAGTTTCACCTGTTMGATTTTCTTTTTTTCAAATACTCTCGTTTTTGCACCCTACAATACAAAAAGTTGGTTTATTTCGAGCACATTAACTGCAAAGATTATGTTCTGAGGTCTGAATTAAAAAATAAAAAAGTCTTGTTTTAAAACTTAAACAATGTAGTTAAAGGTAGCCATTACAACACTTGGAGAAAAAAAGTTTATATTTAAGAGGCTGACACATTAAAGTCGTGCTTACATCTGTGGCTGTTCTAATGGTCACCACAGTCTAAAATAAGAGCATCTTCATTCCATCCAAGCTCTCTGGCAGCTTATGGGGAAGCACAGGGAGAGTGTAATGGCCTGAGTGTGAGAGTCCAGGGATCTTGCAGCTCGACTTAAGTCAACACTGAGGCTCATCACAAACATCATTACCTTCTCTTGGCTTGTCCTTTTCCCTCTTCAGTGGCCCAGGTCTGATAGCTGTGTACAAAAGACGGGAGCAAAGAGACGGATGGCCTAGTTTGATAAAGAATAATCGACTCAATGGTTGCTATTTACTGGGTAGGAGCTTTTCTGCTGCTCCACATCCAAAGGAGAAAGCTTTTAAGGCATCTTGTAGAGCAGAGTTTATTACCATCTCGGCTGTCGTGACTCACGCCGCCTATTCCAGAGCTTCTACTGATTACTCATACATACGATTGTCATCAGGGTCTATCAGGCCACTGCAGGGGGGTGCACCAGGCAGATTCAGTTGAAGCAGAGCAAGAAAGAAGAGATGAGCGTTTTGACAGACATCCTCATGGGAGCACCGAAGTTACATCACAACACTTTTGCTGTGACAAACTGCACAGATAACTTGCAAATGGAATGAAAGTTTGCATCTCCAAAATGTTTTTAACAAGTCTCCTTGGAGTGCAGCATAATGACTGTGAGTCTGGAATGCCGACGTGGTACATATGTTGGGTTTGCATGCAGCCCTCAGCGTTCTTTTGCCCGTTTATGCAGCAGCGACTCTGGGGAGCCACACAGACGGTGTGAAGACACACAAAAGAAGATGCTACAAAACTGTTTGTTTTCGAAGGAATGGCAGAGCTGGCAGACGGAATACATTTAAAATTGAATGTCTGTGTCTCTCTCCCCCCCTGCACTTGAATAATCGTTTGCTGTGTGTGTGTGTGTGTGTGTGTGTGTGTGTGTGTGTGTGTGTGTGTGTGTGTGTGTGTG